AGTAGCTGTTAATGCACAGTGCCAAATGGGAAAGCTACTCTCGAAGGCAGGCACTAGTGATAGTCTACCTGCCTAAGCCCCCAAATCTCCTGCTGCACTTGGAACATTCTCCTCTCGATGTCCTTTAGTTCCCAGTTTACTCAGTCCTGTCAAAATAGCAAACATTAACTGCTTCCAAGGCTCTATAAAAGCCCAGAGTTTTAATGTTTTTGGTAATGTGGACAGGAGCTTCTTGCTAGCCACGCACAGATCTTCAACATCTTGGCATTCAACGTGTGGAAAAATGTCAGATGTTACTGCCATGGTGTAGATTTTGATCAGCAGCCTAGAGCTGACAGATTTTACTGTTTATTCCTTATCCCCAAGCCATTTACTTCCCTTTAACACTCTAAATTCCGCACTCAAATGCTGACATGGGTATTTTTTAATTAAGCACCTTTTCACTGTTTAAGTTTGCTTAACAGATAACTGCCTGTTGGCTTTTCACTTTTAACTTCTTGTTTGCTCAGCAGTGAGGCTTTTCATAATTAAAGCCCTTTTTCAGTTATTCCGGTCTGCAATATTTATTCTTCAGCAAAAATACTGAAGAAATGGCTTTGCATGACTGAATGATTGAAGGAAACACTTCAGGTGCTTGTCTGTTCTTCAGTAACACAAGTTTTTAAATTTAACTGTAGAATTTTCTGGCTCTTTTATCCACTGTCTCTCAATGTTCAAAATTTCAGTGACCCTCGTGAACAGTTCTGAGTCACTTCTTCTCCTGGTGTCAACACTTCGCATCCTTTCATGCCAGATCAGAATCTGCGCAGAGCAGCTACAGAGCGAGATCTCGAATAAGCAGCCGTGAATTTGTCTCACAGGAGTATTTTGAGCACCCAAACGCCCTAGATAATGAAAAGCCATGTTGAAAATTCATTCTCCTCCTTATCTAACTAATCACAAAAGTAGGTAAGAAAATATTCAGCACCCGAGGAGCAGACCAGAGGTTTTTCAGACACTATGCCCTGTATAGTATTGCAGTTGACAAATAAAATGGAACTGCAATGGCAACATATAAAATAGCATGAAAAAGAACTGACAAACAACTTGTTGCTCATCAAAAAAGCTTGTTTTCAATTTCAGACTCAGCTTCTGTGTATGGAATTTGCAAGAAGATAAGGAAAAGCTTCTATAAATACCTGAACAAAAGCTGGTTATTTCAAGCTTTCATGGCCACATGTAAACTAATATTTATAGGGGCAAAGACACTTTGGCAAATAAAGACTGTGTCCTAATTTAAGCAGTTTTACCCTGATGTGCACGTAGGTTGCGTAACTGCTCAGCAGTGGCTTTTGCACCCTCCTACTTTTCGAACTCCTGTAGCCAAGCATGCTCTATCTCAGGAAAGAATGCAACTTTTAGCCAACGTTTGTCAACGTGAATTCTTGGGCACAAAATGTACCCCTAAGAAACCTCTAAAGCTGATCTGAGAGAGAATAAAGTTGGATCCACTGATCTTGGTGCGTGCAAAAGTTGCCGATAGGATTGGAACATAGCTGGGAAAATTTTAGCCTATAAAAGGGGGCATTTCACAAATTTATGGCTTATCAAAAGCTAGTATTATACAAAAGCAATTATTCATAACTATACTGCTTTGCCACGCAGACCTTAATCCCCCTCAAACAGCCTACATCCATAGTCACTGAAATCAATGGGGACTTTGTCACTGGTTTCAATGGGCACAGGATGTTACCAGAACAGCATCTGCAGCACTTCCCAGATCGGAACACTGGGAAGAATCTTCATTTGTAACTAAATGTTTCATGTTTCAAAAGACTGGCCTCAGATGTGCTTTGGAAACTTTTTTTTTTGGTATGTCTTTCTTCCACCAAGCTGCATATGTATCAGCTCCAGTCCTAGAGATGATCTTAAGAGCTTATCTCCCAGGGGATCATAACTTCTTTCTAATTTGCTGCTTTATTGAAATAATCAGGGCTTGAAATTAACTTTTTTTTTTATCGCTCACAATCTTTGCTACTTGCATGAAGAGCACGTAGCACGTTTCCATGTCTTTTTTGAGACTTTTGCTTATTTATTTGCTCATCTGCCTTTAGCAAGTTCATGTTCTGAAAACAGAAAAGCAAGAGATTGCAGGTAAAAGGGAATTAATATTTTATTTCAGATCGGGAGGAAAAAACTGCATAACCATAAAAACCCAAACATATATTTATTGTTTGGGAAGATTAAGGAAACCAAGGAGATGTGTTTTCAAATTTTAATTTTGGAAAGGAATTCCTGTGGACCTTCTGTAACTCAATTTCTCAGTAGGTTTCTCAGTTTACCGTTCTAAAGTGAGGCAAATAATAACCTTCTACTTTGCAAGAGCATTTCAGAGCTAAATAATTCAGGGCCAGACTGTGCTATCTTTTTTTCACGTTGTGTGATAGCTTACTATGCAAGTATCCCCAAAGGACCAGCAAATCTCTTGTGACAACTCCAGAGACAGGCTTCCTTAGGGACAATCACGTGTTATTAGACATATTGGACATAATAAAGAATGACAGAATCTGGCTGTTAAAACTTTATGAGATGCTCAAATACTATAGTGACAGTAGCCATTAAAGCTATAGATAAATTACATCTAAAACAATCCCTCTTTGCTGCATTCCTAACTTCTAAAATATCCTTTGATTTCACTATTGCTACTCTTTATTCTCAGCACATTTTGTTTTTAATCTAAGACCTCTGAATTTCTCCTCAGACAAGGACGTAACTGCAGATACTGCTGCCAGGTAAAATTACTGCAATGAGTTCTGGTTTGTACAACTTTTGGAAAACATTCTGAAACGGTTTGCTTCTTGGGTAGTGACTGAGTAAGAGTGTCCTCGCTGCTTAGAAAGTGAAAAAACTTCTTTTGGGAGTAAAAGACATTTTTTTGCACCAAGTGGTGAGGCAGCGGTGTAGCTGGAGACTATGTAAGGGCTGTAGGGAAGGCACAGTGTATAGAATCATAGAATCATAGAATTGTTTAGCTTGGAAAAAACCTTTAATATCATCCAATCCAACCATTAACCTAACACTGCCAAGTCCACCACTGAACCATGTCCCTAAGTGCCACATCTACAGGTCTATTAAATACCTCGGGGGATGGTGACTCCACCACTTATCTGGGCAGCCTGTTCCAATGCTTGATAACACTTTCAGTGACGAATTTTTTCCTAATTTTCCAATCTAAACCTCCCCTGGTGCAACTTGAGGCCATTTCCTCTTGTCCTATCGCTTGTTACTTGGGAGAAGAGAGTGACCCCCACCTCGCTACACCCTCCTTTCAGGTAGTTGTAGAGAGCTATAAGGTCTCCCCTCAGCCTCCTTTTCTCCAGGCTAAACAACCCCAGTTCCATCAGCTGCTCCTCATAAGATTTATGCTCCAGACCCTTCACCAGCTTCATTGCCCTTCTTTGGATGTGCTTCAGCACTTCAATGTCTTTCTTGTAGTGAGGGGCCCAAAGCTGAACACAGCCCTCGAGGTGTGGCCTCACCAGTGCCGAGTACAGGGGAACGATCACCTCACTGCTCCTGCTGGCCACACGATTTCTGATACAGGCCAGGATGCCGTTGGCCTTCTTGGCCACCTGGGCACACTGCCGGCTCATATTCAGCCGGCTGTCGACCAACACCCCCAGGTCTTTTTCCAGTGGGCAGCTTTCCAGCCACTCTTCCCCAGGCCCTTAGAGCTGCATGGGGTTGCTGTGACCCAGGTGCAGGACCTGGCACTTGGCCTTGTTGAACCTCATACAGCTGGCCTCGGCCCATTGATCCAGCCTGTCCAGATCCCTCTGTAGAGCCTTCCTGCCCTCAAGCAGATCAACACTCCCGCCCAGCTTGGTGTCATCTGCAAACTTACTGAGGGTGCACTCGATCCCCTTGTCCAGATCATTGATAAAGACATTAAACAGAACTGACCCCAATACTGAACCCTGGGGAACACCACTGGTGGCCGGCCGCCAGCTGGATTTAACTCCATTCACCATGCAGGCTGAATACCAGGCTAGAGGTGCTGCCTTCCTCTGCCTTCCCAGAAAACCCATCTCTGTAAAGACAAGAACAAAGTTACTGTTAGAGGAGTAATTACATAAATTAAATGAATATGAGGGGCTACTCCAAGAGCTGTTTTAAGCTGCTGGACATCCTCGGTGTGAAGTAACTTGGCCTGAAGGATGTAGAGGGCTGAGAATTTACGGATTTAATACTCCTTCCTGAACAGTTTAACACTTCAATTGCTGCAGTTACCACTTGCACTCTCTGGGATGGTCCAGCATCCCAAACTCAGAAAAAATAACCTATGGCCTGCTGCAGTAATTAAAAGTCCTTTGATTTAAATCTTCTTGGGCTCCTAAGCCACGGCTGGGTAGGTTTACACAGGGCTGGGGCTCAGCAAGGGACAGGATCATCCCAAGATGGCCCCTGCAGCGGCCTTGTTTTCACGCCAGAGAACCAGAGCGGTCCTACCACAGCCCTGATGTGGCGAACACTTTCCGATGCAAAACCTTCTGAGGTTTGGGGTTTTTTTTTGTGCTCCCCGAAATATTTTCCCTTCAGAGGGAGAAATCTCTCCAAAACCGCTCAGGCTTCTCAAACTAAAAGGGTGAAGCACCGCGGGGGGAAGGTCCCTCAGCAGCACAGGCATGAGGTGAGGTGAGGTGAGGTGAGATGGAGGTGGGATGCCCCTCTACGGGGGTTCACCATGTTGTTTATTCTGTAAAACACCTTCCTCCTCCCCGGGCTTCTCCCCTCGCCAACGGCAAAAGGGGACGGAGGAGGTTGGAGCCGCCGGCCCTGAGGCGAACCCCCCCAACTCCCCCACTCTCCCCCCCATTCCCTCACAGCGCG